TTCGGAGGGTAGCAGGGGGTTTCTCCCGTGCCGTGCAGATTCGAGTAGCCCTTAGGTGGAGGTTGACGCTGCCTGCAGGATCTGGTAGACCATCTCTCTAGCCATGAAGGAGCCCAAGGCTTTTCTCCCCTTGATCTTTTCTCATTCTCTCTTCTATCACTCTCTCTCTTTGGACTCCTGAAGATCCACCAAGGCGACCACTCGGACATCCAAATTAAGACCACGTGGCAAGTAACTGGCAACCTGATTAGAATGTCAGACTGTTGTCATAAAGTTGCTTCATCTTTAAGAAAACTCATCAGAAGTCAATGGAAACAGTGGGTTACAGCAGTCCCTCATCAGATGATGGCTGTGGGAGGATTCCAGCCCACACCCTCAGCCCTTGGATGCAAAAACAAAAGGCTGTCCTGCCCCTGGGGCCCCTAGATTAGGGATTCAGAGATTTTTTTACTCCCTGATAGGCAGAGTCAACGCCTCTACTCAGCCCGGAAGCAGTTTTAGAAGATGGACCTTCGCCCCTCTGCAACCCTATAAAATTATGGGAGTAAAATCTCTAAGGGGGGAATGAGACAGGAAGAAGGCAGGGCACAGCCATTCAAGGAATGCTACAGCAATTAACATCAAAATGGTGAAAGATTCAACCCCCAGTAGGCCTTGAGGCTCAGGATGATGAGAGATTTAACTTCTAGCAGATCTTGAGCTTCATTATAAGTCCATTGTAATATATTAACATGGTGAATAACACGCCCACAGGCACCATGGCAATCCCAAGGCTAGCCACAAAAGGTCAAAGAGTGGAAAATGGCCAACTTCCTGGGAATCCCAGCTCCTTCCCCTTAGACTGGTCCTTCCACTTATTAGCACATGAAGCCACCAAGCCCATAAAAGCCCATAAAAACCAGCAACACCACACCTCGCAGCCACCCTTCTCTCTCTTCCCTCTTCAGAGACGGCCCGCATTCTGTCTATGGAACTGTACCTACTTTTAATCTGAGCACCCAACCCCCAAACCCTTGTGGCCTTTCTCTTGCGTTTCAATGTATCTCTCTGAATAAATCTACCTCACTACAAAAAAAAAATAATACAAGTAATAGCCAAGGTTAGAAAAACCTACGCCCAACTAATTAC